CATAGGCATCAACATATAATGGATACGCAAAGCCAAGTGTAGCTGATGAAGTAAACTGTACATTTCCAAATTGTACATTTCCTGGGATGTGGCTGGGCCAAGCGCTGGGACCTCATTGAGCCAGGCGGTTACACAGACCATCCCATGAAGATGCAGTGATGATAAAGCACCAAGAAAAAAAAAACAAAAAAACACAAGGGAACACTTTCCAACTCACTCTACAAGGCTAGGATTACCCTGACACCAAACATAACAAAGATATCACATAAAAAGAAAACCACACACCCATACCCCGCATGAATATAGATGCAGAATTCCTCAACAAAATATACTTGCCCCTTGAATGACACAGGTATGAACAGTGCAAGTCCGCTTATACCTAGATTTTTCAAACAAATGTGGATCATAATTACAGTGTTCTGGGGATGCAAAACCTGTGTATATGGGGCTGGCTTTTCATATGAACAAGTTTCACAGGGTTGACTTCGGGGCTTGAGAATGCACAGGTTTTGGTATACTCGGGGGTCCTGGAACCAATCTCCTACGTATACTGAGGGATGGCTGTACTAGCAAATCACATCCAGCAACATATAAAAAGACCCAAGTGGGATTTATCCCAGGAATGCAAGGTTTATTTAACATAAGAAAATCAATCAACGTAATACACCATACTAGTAAAATAAAGGACAAAAACCACATGATCATCTCAATGAAAAATAAAAGCACTCAACAAACTAAGAATAAAAGGAAACTTCCTGTACCCTATAAAGATATACAAACATTATGTATCTATAATAATTTTTTTTTGAGACAGGGTCTCACTCTGTCGCCTGGGCTAGAGGGCCTTGGCATCATTATAGCTCACTGCAACTTTAAACTCTGGGCTCAAGCGATCCTCCTGCCTCAGCTTCTTGAGCAGCTGTGACTCCAGGTGCATGCCACTATGTCTGGTTAATTTTTTTTTTTTGTAAAGACAGTGTCTTGCTATTGTCTTGCTGGTCTTGAACTCCTGGCCTCAAGTATCCTCCCCCGTTGGCCTCCCAAAGTGCTAGAATTACGTGTGCTAGCACACCTGACATGACATGATCTTATGTATAGAAAATCCTAAAAAATCCACAAGAAGAAAAAAAACCTGTTAGGACCAATAAACAAGTTAAGCAAAGGTACAGGATACAAGATCAATATACAAAAATCAATTATATATCTATACACTAGCAATGAACTATCCCAAAATGAAATTAAGAAAATAATTCTGCCTTTCTGCCTACATAGTATCAAAAAGAATAAGATACTTAGAAT